TGTTCGGAGCTTTATTTCAAATAGATTTCTATTTTAAATGAAATCCTTACGTCGAACACTTCTCCTTAAGGATCTTATTCATCCCCAACATTTTTCTTAATTCTTCAAATTTACCTTTTGGCAAGTACTTGGTAAAGATATCTGCTACTTGATCTTCTATTGCACAGTGTACTAGGCTTACTTCTTTCTCCTTTTATGCTTCCCTTATAGCGTGGAACTTAATCTTTATATGCTTAGTCTTTCCATGCAACATTGGATTTTTAGCAATGAGGATTTCTGATTTATTGTCGATGTAGAGGACTGTAGGTTCAGTGGAAAGTATTTGTAAATCATCTAGTATTTTCCTTAACCATTGAGCTTGATTTACAGCTCCTGCTGCTGCTATGTATTCAGTTTCGGCGGATGATTGTACCACAATTTCTTGCTTCTTTGATGACCATGAAAACGCACCAGAACCAAGTGAAAAAACATATCCCAATGTGCTTTTAGCATCCTCCACACTTTTTTCCCAATCACTGTCCGTGTATCCTAGAAGCTCTCCTTATGTGTGAGCTTGAAAATGGATTCCTAGATCAGTAGCTCTTCTTACATATCTTAGGATATGCTTAACTGCTGTCATGTGTGATTGTCTTGGTGAATTCATAAACCGAGATAACAGGTTGGTTGCATAAGTTAGATCTGGTTGAGTGGCAGTTAGGTAGAGTAAGCTGCCAATTTTACTCCTGAACTCTTACTCATTCACCATTTCTTCTTCTTCAGCTTTTGACAGTTTAATATGTGGTATGAGAGGGGTAGATACGGCTTTACAATTTTCAAGCTTGAATTTTTTTGAGCAATTTCCTCACATACTTCTTTCATGATATAAAGATCTCTTTCTCAGATTGAGCGATCTCCATTCCCAGAAAATAGATCGCTCTCCCAAGATTTGACATCTCAAATTCCTACTCTAGTTGTGTTCTGAGTTCCTCCATTCTTTGTTCATCATTTCCAGTGATGAGAATATCATCAACATACAGTGATATGATGACCATTTTTCCATCCTTTAGGTATTTGACATACAGGGTTGCTTCATTCTTGCTTCTTTTGAACCCACAGTGGAGCAGGTATGCATCAATTCTGTCATACCATGCTCTGGGTGCTTGCTTCAGACCATACAGTGCTTTATGTAATTTATACACATGATCAATCTGCTCTTCTACTTCAAATCCTATCCGTTGATGGACAAATATGTCCTCTTCCAATTCACCATTCAAAAAAGCAGATTTTACATCAAAGTGCAAGATATGCCAACCTCTTTGTGCTGCCACAGCAAGCAGAAACCTTATCGTTTCATGTCTTGCTACTGAGGCAAATGTCTCTCCAAAATCCACTTCTGGCAATTGAGCATAGCCTTTCACTACCAGGCGTGCTTTGTACTTATTGATTGAGCTGTCTGGGTTCATTTTGAGCCGGAAGACTCATTTAACCCCGATTGCATTTTTACCTTTTGATTTGGGAACCAGGGACCAAGTGGCATTTTTCTCGATCATGTTCAATTCTTCTTCCATTGTTTTTCTCTAAACCTCATGTTGAGCAACTTCTTCAAAAGTTGTTGGCTCCGCAACAGTAATGTTACACTGAGCATAGATGTCAGATAAGCTTCTTGTCCTTTTATTTGGTGATTTTTGTGACTCTTGATTATTCATTTCTTCATTTTCTTCTTGAGCTTGCTTTGAAGTAGAATTTATATCATCAGAGATTATTTTTTCAACTTTCCAATCCCAGTGAGATGCTTCATCAATTACCATATCCCTTCTGATCATA